TAATATAGAGTAATAGATCACTCGATTATGCATTTAATATGAATATAAAAGAAAATTCCAGATGCATAAAATACAGACACTAGCACTACAGAAGCACTTTCAGCTTCTGAGGTCACTGGATTTTAGTTTTAAACCTTATGTTATTTCATCAAGGTATATATTTTCACGTACATGCTTTTATTTGCTGCTAATTTTCCTCAGAAACCTACAGTCTCAGGATTTGTATATTTTTAGTAGCACCAGTACATGTTTTTTATGTTACATTACATTCCAAGCACTGCATATGAATTTCAGCTGTATTAAGCCACAGTGGTACATATACTCAAAGAGTAACATTAGTGATATTTTTCAAGAACTGTTTTATAGGATCTTATAATCCTAGAAAAAAGGATCATGCCTAGTCCAGGTGGGGACTTGTTTCATGGAGAAATAAGAGGCAAACTAAACTTTCTCAAACAGAAGGAGACGTACATTAGGATGCACTCCTTCAACTAAAATATCAAAGGAGAAGCAAATGAAATTCTGTTGTCACTAGTTTCCCCAGATTCACAAATATAATTCTTTCAATTCAAACCCCAAAACTCAAGGTATTATAAACTCTGGAGGTGACTGCTGTGAATCTTTTTTCTACACCCCAGCTGAATGTATGGGCTAATAAGCGGTGAATTCTCTTTTGGTTAAATCAGATGGTGAAGTCACCACAGCTCACAATCCTCATGTTACAACTTGCTTCTAAGGGACTCAGCTTGATACATCACTCCTCTCGCATTCTTCCTTATTCATTCTAAATCCTGAAAAGCCTTCTTCCCCTGTACATGGAAGCCCAGTCTGTGGCTCTGTGCCTGCAGTCTCTGGCTCATACTCCCAAAGCAAATTGTACTGAAAGCACAGAAGAGCTTTGATTGTACGCATTCGGAGAAAGATACCTAAGGCTGATGGCTGGTGCTATGAGTTCTGGTGATACAGTATTAGCTTTCTTCAAATTCTTTGTATTAAATATACAATAACTAACAATGCATGTAAAGCCTTTCTGTCAAATGCATCTCTAACTCTGCTACAATTTGTAAAACAAAAACAATTTTTTTTCTTTATCTTTTTTTTAGACCTGCTACAAACAATGCTCCAAAATAAGACTGATAACTTGTAAAGTTTAAAGGGACAAATTCTACTTAATTTCAGAAGTAGTTTCACCATTGTAATTGACACTAACTCTCACTCTACTTTTTTCTTCATTTCACAGTCATACATTTTTCTGTTTCACTTAAGTAGGCATTTCATACAAGATGACAAAAACTTGTGTAAAAATTCAGGGAAAAAAATGAAACTGATTGTACACAAAGTACTGTTCACTGAATAAGGTAGACAAACTGCAAGAGTACCAATGTAATGTACCACTCAGTCTTATTAGCTGTACATGCAAAATATAAAATTAGTTAAAACAAAGTATTTTCATCTGTATTCATTCGCAGTTATTTTAAAGTTTCACTAACTTCAAGTATAGAGTGATTGAAAATAAATACATATCCTTTTTAAGAAATTGTATTTTCAAGTATAGCTCTAAATGGAAGTGGCCAAAATTTTCCCCTAATGTCTTACTTGAATGAAGGCAAATAATGTAAAATGTCTTCCTCAGGACCAAAGTC